CCTAATCTAACAACAGCAGCTAAGTTAGTTAAGGTGTGAGCGGCCTCATAAACTGACTATATGTGTTGTTGACTTAGCTTCCCAAGACGCTCTTCCTCTGACACACAACAGGGCAGGGTCTCTACTCGGTACGTCTCGTTAAATAGGGATAATCAACTACGTCTCGATAAATAGCGATAACCACCTATTTAAATATCTACTATCTCGTTAAATAGGGATAATCACCTATTAAAATATCTTCTGTCTGGTTAAATAGCGATAATCACGTACATCTCGTTAAATAGCGATAATCACCTATTTAAATATCTACTGTCTCGTTAAATAGGGATAATCACCTACGTCTCGTTAAATAGGGACAATCACCTATTAAACTTTGATAACAAACTGATTTTTTTTTTGACAAATATGGATAATTTTTATTTTCATTGCTAAACCTTCATGGAAATTCCTATGTGGTAAAATGTATTATTCCATTTATGGGTTAGGTTAGGCATGGAATATCTTGTGTATTTTGTGTTAACTTCTAACTGGTCAGAATTGGCAAGTAGACCATACTAACCTAACCTAACCTAACCTACTAACGATATAATCTGGTTATCTTACACTGTAATAGTAAACGACGCATTAAAGAAAATAGGCAATATTTTATTATAGAAATTAATTAGCAGAAAATATAAATAAATTAATAAATATCCCCATTTGCCGAAAATATTCATTATTTTTCAAAACTGAATCTGTAATATGCATACGTACATACATAGATACATACATATATTCATACATACATACATGCATACAGTATTTATAACATGAAGGTCTCGGTAACAGATGCGCCACATTGTAAACCTGTAACAGTGTTGGCAGTGACGTCATACTTAAGGGGCACCAAGTCATTAATGTTAACTCATTTGTATAGTGGAGTTAATACAGTGGTTCATCAACAAGGTGTTCAGGTGTACTCAGGTGTAGAGTACCTTCATCAACAGGTAAATCTCTTACCTGTCATTTATGTATATTGTCACTCTTAAATGTTTCTATAAAATATGGATGAGAAACTCGGCGGTGTAGTGATGCATTGTGGGAGTTGGGGTGAAGGGGGGGGGGAGTGTTTATATTGGCCTGCGAGGAGGAGGAGAAGCACAACACTATTACTAGTACACCTGTACACAGGTGAGTATTGTGTGTCAAGCGAAGTGTATTAGTAAACTTATACCCCGCCATAACCGAGTTGTTAGACCATCACAACACGTGACCAATATAACCTGTAGTTAACATTAACAAGTTATACCTGGTAGTGGTAGTACTGTAATATAGACCATCACAACACGTGACCAATATAACTTGTTGTTAACATTAACAAGTTATACCTGGTAGTGGTAGTACTGTAATATAGACCATCACAACACGTGACCAATATAACTTGTAGTTAACATTAACAAGTTATACCTGGTAGTGGTAGTACTGTAATATAGACCATCACAACACGTGACCAATATAACCTGTAGTTAACATTAACAAGTTATACCTGGTAGTGGTAGTACTGTAATATAGACCATCACAACACGTGACCAATATAACTTGTAGTTAACATTAACAAGTTATACCTGGTAGTGGTAGTACTGTAATATAGACCATCACAACACGTGACCAATATAACTTGTAGTTAACATTAACAAGTTATACCTGGTAGTGGTAGTACTGTAATATAGACCATCACAACACGTGACCAATATAACTTGTAGTTAACATTAACAAGTTATACCTGGTAGTGGTAGTACTGTAATATAGACCATCACAACACGTGACCAATATAACTTGTTGTTAACATTAACAAGTTATACCTGGTAGTGGTAGTACTGTAATATAGACCATCACAACACATGACCAATATAACTTGTAGTTAACATTAACAAGTTATACCTGGTAGTGGTAGTACTGTAATATAGACCATCACAACACGTGACCAATATAACTTGTAGTTAACATTAACAAGTTATACCTGGTAGTGGTAGTACTGTAATATAGACCATCACAACACGTGACCAATATAACCTGTAGTTAACATTAACAAGTTATACCTGGTAGTGGTAGTACTGTAATATAGACCATCACAACACGTGACCAATATAACTTGTTGTTAACATTAACAAGTTATACCTGGTAGTGGTAGTACTGTAATATAGACCATCACAACACGTGACCAATATAACTTGTTGTTAACATTAACAAGTTATACCTGGTAGTGGTAGTACTGTAATATAGACCATCACAACACGTGACCAATATAACTTGTTGTTAACATTAACAAGTTATACCTGGTAGTGGTAGTACTGTAATATAGACCATCACAACACGTGACCAATATAACTTGTTGTTAACATTAACAAGTTATACCTGGTAGTGGTAGTACTGTAATATAGACCATCACAACACGTGACCAATATAACTTGTAGTTAACATTAACAAGTTATACCTGGTAGTGGTAATACTGTAATATAGATCATCACAACACGTGACCAATATAACTTGTAGTTAACATTAACAAGTTATACCTGGTGGTGGTAGTACTGTAATATAGACCATCACAACACGTGACCAATATAACTTGTAGTTAACATTAACAAGTTATACCTTGGTGGTAGTACTGTAATATAGGATCATCACAAATATCGCGACCCCAATATAACTTGTTGTTTTCACATTAACAAGTTATACCCGGTAGTGGTAGTACTGTAATATATAGACCATCACAACACGACCAATATAACTTTGTAGTTAATATTAACAAGTTATACCCTGGTAGTGGTAGTACTGTAATATAGACCATCACAACACGTGACCAATATAACTTGTAGCTAATATTAACAAGTTATACCTGGTAGTGGTAGTACTGTAATGTAGACCATCACAACACGTGACCAATATAACTTGTTGTTAACATTAACAAGTTATACCTGGTAGTGGTAGTACTGTAATATAGACCATCACAACACGTGACCAATATAACTTGTAGTTATCATTAACAAGTTATACCTGGTAGTGGTAGTACTGTAACATAGACCATCACAACACGTGACCAATATAACTTGTAGTTAACATTAACAAGTTATACCTGGTAGTGGTAGTAGTGTAATATAGACCATCACAACACGTGACCAATATAACTTGTAGTTAACATTAATCAGTTATACCTGGTAGTGGTAGTAATTTCAGAGTGGTAATATAGAGTAGGACCATCACAACACGCGGATCAATATAACTTGTAGTTAACATTAACAAGTTATACCTGGTAGTGGTAGCATTGTAATATAGACCATCACAACACGTGACCAATATAACTCTTAGAAGTTAATTACTAACAAGTTATACCTGGTAGTGGTAGTGTACTTGTAATATAGACCATCACAATACGACGAATATGTAACTTGTAAAGTTAACATTAACAAGTTATACCTGGTAGTGGTAGTACTGTAATATAGACCATCATAACACGTGACCAATATAACTTGTAGTTAACATTAACAAGTTATACCTGGTAGTGGTAGTACTGTAATATAGACCATCACAACACGTGACCAATATAACTTGTAGTTAACATTAACAAGTTATACCTGGTAGTGGTAGTACTGTAATATAGACCATCACAACACGTGACCAATATAACTTGTAGTTAACATTAACAAGTTATACCTGGTAGTGGTAGTACTGTAATATAGACCATCACAACACGTGACCAATATAACTTGTAGTTAACATTAACAAGTTATACCTGGTAGTGGTAGTACTGTAATATAGACCATCACAACACGTGACAATATAACTTGTTGTTAACATTAACAAGTTTTACCTGGTAGTGGTAGTCTCTCACTTTCTAACGTTTGACAATAATGTTAAAAATATTTGTATGGGCTGTAGTCGGTAATTAACATACAGAGCGTGATACACGCCGCCAGTTACATGTATAAACATACACACAATATACCAACAACCTTCCCTCAAGTTAAGTTATACTGTTTATTGTACAGCACAATACTGTACAGTACAGCACAGTGCAGGGCAGTACTGAAAGGTACAGTACAGCACAGTGCAGGACAGTACTAAAAGGTACAGTACAGCACAGTGCAGGACAGTACTGAAAGGTACAGTACAGCACAGCGCGGTACAGTACTAAAAGGTACAGTACAGCACAGTGCAGGACAGTACTGAAAGGTACAGTACAGCACAGCGCGGTACAGTACTAAAAGGTACAGTACAGCACAGTGCAGGACAGTACTGAAAGGTACAGTACAGCACAGTGCAGTACAGTACTAAGAGGTATAGTACAGCACAGTACTGTATAGTACAGCACAGCGCAGTACAGTACTAAAAGGTACAGTATTGCATAGTACAGCATAGTGCAGTGCAGTGCAGTACTGTTTAGTACAGCACAGCGCAATACAGTACTAAAAGGTACAGTATTGCATAGTACAGCATAGTGCAGTGCAGTGCAGTACTGTTTGGTACAGCACAGTGCAGTGCAGTGCAGTACTGTTTAGTACAGCACAGCGCAGTACAGTACTATATATTACGGTACAGTACAGTATCCGCTATTACTTTTTAACTTGTTCTCAAAAGCTGAAGATAATGAGGCAAATTAAACAGTGTAACATAATTATTACTATTATTATTATTATTATTATTATTATTTATGATGGTCATTTATCATCCACGAAATTGTTTGAAATGTTTACCTTTTGTTAAGTTTTCTTATTATGAGTATTGTTGTTAACATGTTTACACTTATCAGGTGTTACGACTGGTCCTACGAGATCGGCTAAAACAGAATTAATGATGTATGTTACTTTTACTAATTCATATCAAGATGTAACTAAGGTGAAAACATAAACAATTATTATTACTGCTAACATGAACGTTAAACATTTCATATTATATTCTAAGTCGTAGGAGATAACTATTATATGTGATAATAAACACTTTATTAACCCACAAAACTTGTTCAGTTGTTACAGAGAAGTGAACAAGTTGTTTGAGGATGAAGTACATGTTGACGCTACTGGTGGTGACCGTCACTGTTATAGGAGCAATAGACAACAAAACTGCTCCGGTAGATCCAGTGATCCTTCCGTGTGGCCCCCACACCATGAAACTCGGCGATGTGGTCTTGGTGCAGTCACCAGGTTACCCCGCCCGCCTGACCAACAAGAGCAGGTAAGATCATCCCCAGTTCACCTTCACACGTACACCATAACACTACAGGTACACCATAACAATACAGGTAGTCTCAGGTCAATATGTTTGTGCTGTTGCTTCAGTTAAATACATGTTCACGTCTGCAGTCATATTAACGTAAGTTACTGTAACTTTTAAACGAGGATCCTCAAGGTGTTTAATGTTTCTCTTAAATTAAAGGTGTTCCAATATCTCTAAGACCAGGGTTGCCATACGTCCGTATTTTCCCGGACATGTCCTCCATTTAGGTCTCGAAATCTTCATCCAGAAGGAATTTTTAAAATTCTTCAAAAGTCCGGAATTTCAGCTTCCATCATTTTCTCCACGGAAAGAAACATGAAACTGTAATGACGAGAGAGAGAGAGAGAGACTGTGAGAGAGGGGAGGTGGAAACAGTAGAGATCTTGTTCAGTTCTCGTCAGCTGATAAGTCACGTGTACGCCTGTACGGTGGTGTCAACTTAGCTGCTAGCAGTTTTTGGGGTAAACTGTAGTGCCATGTACTGCTTTTCCTTGTTCTTCAGCCACGCGCATTATTATATTATTTTATATTTAGTTGCTATTACAGCCATAAATGAAATGTTGAAAGTATACCATTTTTTTCTTATGGCTTATTTTACACGGTAGCGTTTGTTTTTCTTGTCCTGCTTTTAAGGCATTTTAGCAATTTCCAACCACAATCTAGCCACTTTCCTTATATTATTTACGTGTGTCGACAACTATGACGGTGGCCGGTGGTTGGCCAGTCTTTAACCTGCAGTGACAGTGTTTGATCTTAGTCTTTGTTGTGGGTTTGTCGCTTGGTGCCACAGCTAGTGCTTACGATTTGTTGTACTTTTCCAGAGCATAAAACGGTCACGGCTGCATCAAGGTTACATAGCGCCAAAGTGTGTGCCATGCGGGGGGGGGGGGCGGCTGATGTCTTCGGGAACGTCCTCTTTTTTTAATGTTCAGATATGACAACCCTATCTAAGACACAATACCAAGATGACAAACTAAATGGCGTCTAAACTGTAACCTTCCCGAGGATACAAAGACGATTACAGTTGTTAGTTCTACCTGTGTTCCTCTAACATTATTACCACCACAGGTGTTACTTCCACCAACACCTGTATTCCTCTAAGATTATTCCGTCTTCCACAATAACGTCTACAGGTGTTCACTCCTTCCCACAGTTGTCAACAGAATATCGTCTGCCAGTCACCGAGTGCCAAGCTTGGAGTCGCCTGCGAAGTATTTAACCTGGAAGACTGTGACAATGAACGACTCATCATATCCTACGACACCACTTCCTCCACGTATGTGTTACCCGGTACAACACCACCACCACCACCACCTCTACTACTGTTACTCTTACTACCTTTACTACAAACTAAAAAAAACAACTTTTACTGCTATTGTTATTATACAATGCAAATAGTATTACAATACCGGTTCTCCTTAAAATTACACTACTACTACTACTACAACAACTACTGCTTCTGTGTGTGATATTGACAGTAACATTAGTAGTTACTGGACATAAAGACAATATGTGATCCAGTCATAACAATACTTGCATTATTTTTATCTATCATTAAACCTTTACTTTTGATGTTGGTAATATTATCAAGTAATAACACTCTTACTAACTTCTGATGCTTCAATAACTATTACTTTAATTACAACCACTAACACATTATTACTCCTGTTACCTCGAATACTTTGTCTCCTCAGTCTGAGCATAAACTGATAATAATACCTCACTATAACCTCCTGCCTGTCACTATAACCAGCCAATGTTAATTACTATATGATGGCGTTATCCTCAACAGACTCTGCGGGAATGTTAAACCTAACGGCGTCTTCCCCACCAACGCGATGAAACTCGAATTCATAACCAAAGGCGTGAATGACTCCACTGGGTACAATTGTTCCATCACGTGCCTAAGATAACAAACCAATGACCAACTACAACAAGTAGTGTGAGAAGCAGCTGCCTCTCTCTTACCTGCACCACGACTACCAGGACCACTATGAGGAATTCCTTGGGATTTGTTCATCTGAAGGAGTGACATGCTAGTGTTCCAGGCTTCACTAACCCCCGGACCCGGAAACCTGACCAAACCTTCC